TTTTTCAAGTAAAATAAAAAAATATTAAAATTAATAAAAAAAAAATGTCATTTTTTTTTTTTTTTGACGTTTGAATTATTTTTCACAACAAAAACATTGTTTGTTTTTGTAAAAACATCCCAAAGGTAATGAATGGGAGAAAAATAATAATAATAATAATAATAATTTTTTTTTATTTTAAATAATTGAACGGTTGTTACGGTTTTTCCTTTCCCGTTGTTAATAAACTTTAATGCAGTCAAAAAAAAGAATAAAAATAAACAATTTTAAAATTTTTTTCTCTGTTTGTTTGTTTGCCTGTTTGTTGTTATTTAAAAAAAAAAAAGGAGGGGGGAAACGAAAAAAAAAAAAAAATTTGTTGGTTCGGAATTAAATTAAAATTTTTTTATTTCGAAAATCGAATTAATCGCTTCTGTTGTTCTTGCTGTTCCTGTTCCTGCTTTTGCTCCTGCTCCTGCTGCTGCTGCTGTTGCTGATGATGATGATGATGATGATGATGATGATGATGATGATAACGATTTTGCCTTCCATCTTTTTTGTTTATTGTTTGTTTGTTTGTTTGTTTTTTTTTCTATGCAATTAATACGGAAAATTCGTGAAATCGATTTTGAAAAATCTGATAAAATAACATCGTCGCCTGGTTTTTTTTTATCGTTTTGATTTAATCGTGCTGTTGTTGTTGTTGTTTTTAATATCACCGCTGTCGTTTTTTTTTTTTTTTGAATACTGTGGTAAAAAATAAAACCTCGACGTTTATATAACCGAAAATTTTAATTTTAATTTAACAAATTAATTATTCAAAACGTTAGTAAAGTAGTAAACCCCCCGGACTTTTTTTTTACCGGTAAAAACCGGTGGGTTTTGTCCGAAAACAAAATTTCCCGACAGAAATTTTTTTTATTTTATCTAGAATATTCGACCGTGAATGAAAAAAAAAATATTCAAAACATAATAATCATGTTTCAATATAAAAATTTAATTTTATGTTTTTTTGTAAATAACGACGAATCGAAAATAACAAAAATATAAATTTTACATAATAATAATGATTATAATAAGTGAAATTTAAAGTCGTTAAATGTAATTAACGCGAACGGCAACAGCAAATAAATTTTTTTTTCTTCATTTCATTCGGGTAAAGCCCCTTACCCGCCCCCTTTCCCCACACCCTTTACCTCTCCTTTCCCCCTCCTCCGTGCCTCCTACGGAACTTTAAACCTTTTAACGAATCATTAAACCTTTTTGCAATTTTTTAAAACGTTTAAAAAAGATTTATTTATGTTATTATTATTATTATTATTATTTTATTACTCGATTCACCCATCACGTAAGTAATTTTCTTTTTGTTTTCTGTGAAGGGAGGTAGGGAGAGGAAAGAAAAGGGGGAAAAGAGGGGAGGAAATAATAATAAAAAGAAAAAAAAAATTTTTCGAGGTTTTTTTTTGTTTTTGTTTTTAATTCGTCCATGAAATGAAAACAAAAACAAATATTATTATTATTATTATCAGTCGTGGAAGTGGAAGAAGGAGGGAAACTGGGGAGAGAGAGAGGGGGGGAAAAATGTGAAAAATAAAACTTTATTTTAGGATCAAATGGCAAAATCGTTAAGTTTCCCGCATCCATTAACATCCTAAAAATATTAAATATTTCCTTCCTTTACACACACACACGCGCGCGCGAAAAAAAATTTTTTATTTTTTTTTTTCTTTTCCAGTCATCATTATTTTCTACGAAAAAATTTTCTTTTCTCTCTTTCTTTCTTCTCCAATTTACCGAATAATAATAAAACACGCTGGATAAAACCCCCCCTCTTTCCTACCCCTCTCTCCCTTTTTTCTTCTTCATCCTCCGAATCGTTTTTGTATTATTTTAAATGATTATTAAAAACTTTTTTATTTATTTATTATTATCATTATCATCATCATTATATTTTTTTTTTTTAGAATTTTTTAAAGTAAAATTTCTTTTTTTTTTCTCTAGCGTATTTTCTTTTTTTTTTCTCTCCATGTTATGAATTATTAAAATAAAATTAAAAAGTTTTCATTAAAAAAAAGGGAAATTTTTTTTTTTTTTTATTGATTGGTTTTTGTGTAAAAAGTTTTCTTTTTTTTTTTCTAAAAATTATTGAGTGGAAGATTTTAATGTTTTAAAAAAAAAAAAAAAGTTTGACTTTTTTTTTTTAAAGATTTTGTCTTGATTGTTCTTTTTTTTCGGACTACAAAAAGGAAAAGGAAAAAAAAGAAAAAAAGGAAAATTTTTTTTTTTTTATTTTCTTGATAGTTTTTCTGTGTGTGTTGACTGACTTGGTGAAGTGATCTTAATGACTTTCCCATTTTCTCCACTTAAATTTCTACTAGGAGGCATTAATATTTTTTTTTTTTTCAAATCTTGAAAATGTTTTTTCGTTTTTTTTATTATAAAAAGATGAGATTTTATATTTAAAAAACGATGCAAGTTTGGTCTTTTTATAATACAATTTTACAGTTCCTGTTTTTAATTTTATTAAATTTATTTATTATTCGTTTTTTTTTTTTATAATAATCGATTGTTAAAATGGACGAAACGATTATTTCGTTTACAAATTCAAATCCAATGTGGCGAAAATGTTTTTTGTATAACAAAAGAAGTTTTTCATGTCGTGAATGAAAAGAAACGAATGGAAAATAATGAAATAAAACTTTATCTCATCTTTTTCTTCTTCTTCTTCTTTTAAAAACTTTTCTCATAAATCAGGTAAATTTATTTTTACTCACGACTTTACCCAAAAAAAAAAAAAAATTGAAACAAATTTTTTTTTTTCAACACACAACTTTTCTGATTTAATAAAATTTGATTTGTATTAATTTTTTTAACATTGAATACGTGAATACGTAATCGTGATTGTTATAATAATAATAATAATTTTATGTGTAAAAAAAATATGTGCGTGTGTGTATATGTAAGTCTCGTTGTTTTTTTTTTTTTTTTTAAATTTTTTATTTTTTCCCTTTTGCGTCGAGGGGTAATGTTTTTGTCCCATTACGCATCTTCATATCATTATTATTAATATTTATTCGTACAATTTATTTAAATTTTTAATGGACGAAACAGGAAAAAGAATAAAAATATATATTTTTCTTTTTGTTTTATACTCTATGCTATTCTATTCAAATTTAAAGCGGGAATTTTTTTACGTATTGCACTGCCACCTATTGATATTTTCATAAACTAATTTTATTTTATTCCGTTTCAAAATGTCGACGATGGATGTCGAGGTTGAATTTTTTTTTTGTTTTTAAATAGGTTAATTTAAAATTTGACGCATGGAAATTTTTTTTTTTGTTTTCTTTCTCAAATTTTACGTGGAAATTATTTTTTTTTGACAAAAAATTTTTATTAATTTATTTGATGTTTGACAAACAATGAAGTGGGAAATGTGAAATTTTTCCCAGGTTAAATGTATATTCGATAATTTCGTACATAACTCGTCACTCTCTCTCTTTCTCTCAAAAAAATAATTTAAAGGAATTTATGATGGCGAAACAAATTATTACGAATAATTTAATTGATGTGATTTATAATAATAATTATTATTATTATTATTATCATGAAAAATTTATTGATAAGCAATGGATAACAAAAGATTAGGAATTTTATCCAGGAATGAATAAATTTCACATGAGGATCGACATATTTGTTGTCACCAATTCGAAAAAAGTGAAATTTTAATTGATCATTCACGCTCATAATTTACTTTTATTCATCACGGTCAAATAACAATAATTCAAAATTTAAAAAAATTTTATTTTTTTTTGCTTTCAGGATGAAAAGAATCAGTTGCTTATAACGAACCTTTGGTTGAAATTGGTATGTATTTCATTATCATTATTATTGTAAATAGATAATAATAATAATATCGATTGTGTAATAAAATGATGGTTTTTTTTCCAGGAATGGAACGACGTCAATTTAAGATGGAATTCATCTGAATATGGTGGCGTTAAAGATTTAAGAATACCGCCTCATAGAATTTGGAAACCGGATGTACTCATGTACAACAGGTAAAATTATTAAAAGAAAATCAATTATTCACGAAGAATGATTAAAATAAATAAATAAATAAATAATAATAATAATAATAATAATCCGACAGCGCCGACGAGGGTTTTGATGGAACTTATCCTACAAACGTTGTGGTCAGAAATAATGGAAGCTGCCTTTATGTGCCCCCAGGAATATTTAAAAGCACGTGTAAAATAGATATAACGTGGTTTCCCTTTGACGATCAACGTTGCGAAATGAAATTCGGAAGTTGGACTTACGATGGATTTCAGGTACGATAATTATTTATTTATTTTACAAACGACAATCAATTAAATCAATCAATCAATTACGATTGATCACCTGTTAATTCTTTTTCACAAAATTTTTTTTTTTCCTTTTCGTTCGTTTTCACGATTTTCTCTCTCTTTTTTTTTTGTATTAATTCCCAAAAGAGGTTTTACCTTTTTACAATAACCTTTTACCGAAAGGTTGATTATTTTTTGTTCATTTTTTTTTTTCACTGCTCCTGTTAATTTAAAAGGCAACAGGAATCGTTTTATATATTTATAAACGTTCAAAAAAATTTTTTTTTTTAAATTGAAATACAAACTTTACCCCCCTCCTCTCCTCCCCGAAGGAAAAAAGGAAAAGTTGAAAATTAATTTTTTTGTTTTTAGTACGTTTCCGGTTTATGTAATAAATTAATAATGATAATAATAAAAAACGTTTTAACGGTTGTTAATAAATAAATAAACGTTTTTTTTATTTTTTAACGACTAAATTTTTGAAAAAAATTTTTGTTTTCTTCCTCCCCTCTCTCTCTCCCTCCCAACACAAAATAAAAATTATTATTATTATTATTATTAATTTCCAGCTGGATTTACAATTACAAGATGAAGGAGGAGGAGATATAAGCAGTTTTATAACAAACGGTGAATGGGATTTAATAGGTATCGTTATTTATTTATTTAATTAATTAATTTTAATTATTGCGGACGTTATTTAACGTTGATTGTTTTTTTTTTCCAGGTGTTCCAGGAAAACGAAACGAAATTTACTACAATTGCTGCCCTGAACCTTACATAGATATAACTTTTATAATAATTATACGTCGAAGAACGTTGTATTATTTTTTCAATCTCATTGTACCATGTGTACTCATTGCCTCAATGGCAGTTTTGGGATTTACGCTGCCTCCAGACTCAGGAGAAAAGCTATCATTAGGTATGATTCATTATAAAGTAGGCATGAAATTATTTTATATTGTTTGTCTGTATGTCTGTGTGTGCGTGTAAGTGTGTTTGCGCGTGTTGTTTGTTCTCAATACTCGAAGACAACTTTTAAAAAGGAATTTTTTTTTAATAATTAACGACCGATCGAATATTTAAAAAAAAAAACATTTTATTTGGTAAAAAGGTTAGAAAAAAAATTTAATTAAAAAAAAATAAGAAATATAAAAAGAGTATATGTATATATATATCGTCAACAGGTGTGACAATCCTTCTTTCACTGACTGTGTTTCTTAACATGGTAGCCGAAACAATGCCCGCTACGTCGGACGCGGTGCCTCTTTTAGGTATGTCCGTACACAATCGGCTACCTGAAATTGAGGTGTTTGAGTGAGGCCTTTGACTCAATTTTTCCTTTTTTAAATTTTTGCGTAGGGGGCAATTATTATTATTATTATCAAACTAAACATTTTTAACCGATTTGTTTTTGTACAAAAAAACTTAACATAACACAGCATAATTTTGTTTTTTTTTTTTTTTTTTTTTTTTAAATTTGTAAATTTTTTTTTAACATGTATACAACATTACCGAAAAAAAAACAATAATAATAATATTATTAATAATTAATATTTTAAATAAAACGATTGTGTGTGTCACGTGGGGGGTGAGAGGAGGCACAATCGTATTTTTAACAAGGTAATTTTTTACAGGTTTAATTAATATGTTTAATTTTTTTAAATTGTAGTTAATAATTTTTATTGTAATTATTATTATTATTATTTATTTATTTATTTAATTATTTACAATTAGTTATAGATTAATCATTAAATATTATTAATTAATTAATTTTTTTTTAATAAATAGAAATTTTTTTATTATTTTTATCATAATTATTAATTAATATATATTTTTTTTTGTATTTAGCTTTTGTAAATTTTTTTTTTTTTTTTGGTAAATTAATTACTCTACATTAAATTTAATTTTTTTTTTGTTTTGTTATGTTGGTAATAAAGAATAATAGTAGTTAGAATTATATTATTAGAAGCAGCATACATAAATTTTTTATTTATTTATTTTTTAACAAGTTATTAAATTGTATTTTATTGTGTATATATTGAGATTTGACGTAAACAAAAAAAAACCGTTAAAATTATTATTATTATTATTATTATTATTATCATTATGTATTTATTTGATGTTTTATTTGTAGTTTTATGTATTTATCAATTAATTTATTTTTTTAAATAATTGTATTTGTACGTAAACAATTTTTTATTATTAAAAAAATTAGTAATTAAATATATTTATTTATTTATTATTATGTATTTTATTTAATTATTATTATTATTATGTACTTTATTTAATTATTATTATTATCATGTATTTTATTATTGTTATTTTTTTTTTTTACATATTGTTTTAGCAGGACGCAAAGGGATTTTTTTTAGTATTTAAAAAACAAAAATTATGTGTTATTTATTTATTTATTTACAATAATAATATTAATTGTATTTGTTTATATTATTTTGGAGATAACATGTTGTTGAAAAAAGCTGTGATATGTATATCAAAATAATTGATAAGGATATCGATTTTTTTGGAGTATGATATTATTATCATGAGAAACATTATCGATGACGTAATGATAATTTATTAATATTATTATTATTATCGGCATCTCATGCGTGAAACTGATTAACGCAAAATTTGTCGAAAATATTTTTTTAAAATATATATATTGCAGCTTTTTGTTTGTTGTAATAAAAAAAAAAAAAAAAAAAAAAAAAAAAAATTATGCGTTTGTTTGGTTGTTGTCAATAACAACAGCGAATGCAAAAAAAAAATTGCGTGAATGTTTTTTTTTTTTTTTTTTTTTTTGTCATATCTGGAAAAAATCCAGAATTTTATTTTTACGTATTCATGTGAATAAAATTAATTTTGTATTTTCCAGGGGTGACAATTCTATTGTCGCTCTCTGTGTTCTCCCTCATGATTGCTGACGCTTTGCCGCAGACATCCGAAGCTATACCACTACTAGGTCAGCAGCAACACAAACAACAAACTACAAAAAAAAAAAAAAAAAAAATTTAAAATTTTTCTGGATTGTTTTTCGCAGCTCTTTTTATTCTATGCTTATATAGATAAATATCAATCTTTACTAAAACTTATTTACAAAAATTTTAAATAATGATAATGATATTGATAATATTTTTTTTTTTAAATTAAATAACTTATTTAATAATAATAATAATAATAATATTATTATTATTAAACACATCTTCATTCTGTTAGATCTTTATTTTTCTTGACAAAAACTGTTATTTAGCCAAACTTTTTTTTTTGTTTTTTTTTTTTGCATTTCTCGTCTGTGGATTTTTTTTTTTATGTTTCACTTATCACTTATCACTCGAATGCGATTTTTTATTTCTAAAATTTATTTATAAACGCGCGAATTATAAATAAAAAATCGCATTCAACTATTGTTTTCACAATTAAATTTTTAAATATTATTATTAGTTTAAAAAAAAAAAGTGTATATTTAAATTAAGTGACGTCATTAAAACAACGAGTGATAAGAAAATATTTTCTTATCGATAAGGTTTATTTTCTTTAAATATAAAACAACACGAAATGTTGTTTTGTTTTTTAAAAAAAAATATTTTTTTTATTGACGTCATTTAAATTATATTTTTCTTTTCTTTCAGTATAGTAAACATTTGAAAAAAAAAAAAAAAAAATTTTTTTCGGCCATTGATATTTCTTTTAGATTCTGCTGTTTGTATAATACATAAATAAAAATTTTCTTTTTTTTTAAATATTAATTTAAACATTTTGAGGCTTCGAGGTAGGCCTGATAAATAATTTTTTTAAATAACAATTTATCAATTAATTTATTTATTTATTTATCATATTAAAATCATATTTTTCATAACAATATTGACAAATGTTAAATGAAAAAGAAGACTTTACGTTACGAAAGAAAAATAAATATAAAAAAAAAACTTATGAACTTATTATTATGTAAAAAATAATCAATCGATAAATTATTAAAATTTATGTACTTATAAATTATTATATATTTATGTATACATAAAAAAATTTTATTCACAGTGAAAATCTACGACGATTAATATGATTTAAGTTTTATAATAATTAAAAAAATTTTATTCTTATTAACGTTATTATTTAACAAAAATAAAAATTACATGACGTCATCGTTATTTAATTTACATAAAAAAAAAGACACACACAAACTACGACGACGACGACGACTATGACGACAAACATAAAAAAAATACGTTTTATCACCTTTTATTATTATTATTATTATTAAAAAACAAAATGAGAAAAATTGTAGGGAAATTGACATAAAGGCCTCACGAACCCTCTTATTTCAGGTATTTTTGTTTGTGTGCTTTGTTTTTGTTTTTTATTCTACTATGTTTTTTTCAACTGTTTGTTTTCTTAACTGATTATTGTCTTTTTGTTTTCATAAAAATTTTTCTTTCATAAAAACACAAAAAAAAAACTTGAACTTACTATCATTTCAAAATCAATAATTAGTTATCACTTGTTATATCTATCTTGTAATAGTCACAAGTAGTTTTTTTTTTTTTTTAGTTTCTAATAAACTTATTTATTTATTTATTTAAATAAAGTTTGCTTATATTTATTTATTTATTAACTTTTTTATTAAATTGCAAATTATTAATAAATAATTTACAATCGTTCTCATCGTTTTAATTACTAATGATTTGATGATGTGATGTGATAATTTTTTTAAAAATAAAAATTATTTAAATATTATTTTAATTAATTACGATAATAATAATAATATTTTGGGGAGTATTCACGTCAGCAGACGATATTCGAATATCGATTGTAACTGTTATTTAAACAAAAGCAAACTTTATTTTAAATATTTTTTTTTTATTTCATTTTATAATAATTTATTACTCTGAATAAAAAAAATCATTATTATTATTAAATTACCGACGTTAAAAAATTATTCGGATTGATAAATTATTATTATTATTATAAGTGTTTTCATTTCTTATTTATTTCGTAATTACATAATTTTTTTTTAAATTTAATTACAACGTTCGTTTATAAATAAATAATAATATTATGTAAATTTTTAATGTAACAGGAACTTACTTTAATTGCATCATGTTTATGGTGGCCTCATCAGTGGTATCAACAATTCTCATACTAAATTATCATCACAGGAATGCTGACACGCACGAAATGTCACCATGGGTAAGTTTAAAATATTTTTCTTTAAATAAAACTAATCTAGTAAATCACGTGCAAAATAAAAACAATGAATGACGCCACGACGAATTATTTTTTAATTTTTTTTTTTATGTTAAATTTTGGTTTTTTAATACTTTTTGAAAAATTATTATTATTATTGATAAAATTGGCGATTTTGCGTTTGTTCGTTCGTTCGTTTTTTTGTTTTGATTGGTCGAAAAAAGGTTGAGAGGTTTATAAATTTTTGATTTTTTCTTTTCCTTTTTTTTGTTTCATTTAAAATATCATTGTTTACATTTATTTTTTGACAGTTAAAATAATAATAATAATAAGTGAATAATTAAAGAGGTAAAGAGGTAAAGAGAGTGAGAGAGAGAGAGAGAGAGAGAGAAACAGAAAGTTTAAATACGAAATTTAAATGTGTTAAAAGAAAATACAAAAAAAAAACCGAAACTAAAATTAATTTTTAAAAATTGTTTTCTTTTGATTTCTTTTTCCCCATTCCCGAATTTTATTTTTAAAAATTTAATTTATTTTTTTACTTATCCGCCATTTTTCTTTTTTTTCGTTTGGTATCAAACTACAATAATAATAATGATAATGATAATAATACTATTTCGTTTAACTTATTATCATTCATACACAATTTTTTTTTTTTTTTTTTTAAATGAGATTTGATTGAATCAAAATTTGAATAAACGCGCTAAAAATATATTTATAATACTATATATATATATATATTTAATCGAAAAATACAATAATAATAATGATAATAATAATAATAACATATGTATTATAAATAGAATTTTTTTAAGAGGTGAATTTTTTTAAAAATCGATGAATGAAATTCAATAAAATTTTTTTATTTTTTCTATCTCTCTCTCTTTTTCTCTCTCTTTCTCTCTCTTTCTTTACACTCTCTTCACACACTCTCTCTCTTTCTCCATTATTCATTCTTTTAAATAAATTCAAAGTGAGTTTTTTTTCTTTTTTTTTTATTGCTTAAACGTCACAAAATGTTGATTTAAAAATAAATTTAAATTTTTTTTCTCTCTTTTTCTCTGTCTCTCTCTCTCTTTTCTTTTCTTTTCCACTTTCTCGTTTTCGAATCAATCGTTTTCAAAAAAGTCTATTGAAAATCTGTAAAATTTTCTTATTTTTCCCTCCTCCCCTTCGTGTTTCCGCCCATTTCCGCCCCGCCCCCGCCGCGAATAGAAATAAATTAATAAGCAATACAGAGTTCGATTTATTTATTTATTTTGTAAAATTTTTGAAAATTATCGTTTTTATCAATACCCGATAATTATGATAATAAACAGGGAGGCGTGGGGAGTGGGTTAGGGTGGGGTTATAATTTATTAGAATAAATTTTTCATTACGAAGAAATTTAAACGAATGATTTTAATTGAAGTCAAAAAAAAAAAAAATTGTAATTGTTATTTATAATTCGACATTTTCTCTCTCTCTCTCTCTCTCTCAATTATTTCAAAAGGTTAATAAAAATAACGAATACGCATGTACACTCATTATTATTTTTTTTTTTTGCGACGTTAAAAAAAAAAAAGAAATTATGTAAAATTTGATGTTAAAAAAAAAAAGAAAAGAAATTGCGTCATTGTTCGAATTTAACATGGAAAAGTCAATTTAAAAAAAAAAAAATATTTTCCAGCAAATTTAGAAGAAAATTTTTTTTTTTTTTACTTCGTTTC